CCCCCCCCCCCCCGCACACCTCCATCAGCGCGCCAGAACACTTTTGTCTGCCCTCTGCCCGGGTGCAGTCTCTGAACATTTCTCACTGATCGCTGTCCCGTTGATCAATCTTGCTCCGTCCCCTGAATGTCCCCTTTAGCCTTTGTCCCTGGATGCCCCCCAGCACCCTCCCCTCCCTGTCTGCCCCCTTTCTTTGTCTGCCCCGGGCCTTCCCCTCTGACCCCTCTCTGCCCTCCCCCAGTGGCAGTGAACCTGGCCAAGCTGAAGCTGTTCCGGCATTACTACGTCATGGTACAAACCCGCTCATGCTTGCTGAGGGGAGTGGGGTCAGAACAGCATGCACCCCAGTGTCTCCATCTGCCATCCCTCTGCCTTCTACCCCGACCGCCAGCTCCTCACACTGCCCGGCGCCCCACAGTCTAGGTGGTCCCATGAGCAGTGAGCCCTGCAGGCTGGGGCGATGCCTGTCCTATTTAGTCTCACAGCCGGGAGGTTTCCAGGACTGAGAAGACCCATGATTGATTGAATGGTCTCTGCATGAGGGGTCCCTGCAGTTGTGGAGATTCATGATCCAGGGGGTCCCCACAGTTGTGGAAGAATTCACCACGTGGGGCTTCTCAGGTTGTGAGGGGACCCTTGGTCAGGAGGGCCCACGGTGGCAAGGCCCTGTAGTTTGGGGGACCCTGAGAGTTGGGGATGGGTCTTCTATGGTCAGAGGTCCGCAGACCTAGAGTTGCACAGGCCGCCCCTCTGCCCATAGGTCATCTGTTACGTCTACTTCACACGCATCATCGCCATCCTGCTGCGAGTGGCTGTGCCCTTCCAGTGGCAGTGGCTGTACCAGGTGACAGAGGGGCGCCTCCGGGAGGGCGGGGATGATAGGGCACCACCCCGCGGGTACTGGGTGTGGGGCACAGACCCACGGGTGCAGGGAGGGCACCGCCCCGCGGGTACGGGGTGTGGGGCACAGACCTTTGGGTGCAGAGGGGGCAGCCTCGCGGGTACAGGCAAGGTGCAGACCTTTGGGTGCAGCCCTGCGGGTACGGGGGCGGGGAGGGGGCTGACCTGCGGGTGCAGAGGGGATGCAGCCCTGCAGATGCAGAGGGGGGCACAGACCCAAAGGTCGGGGTGGGGTGGGGAGCGCAGAGCCGCGGAAACAGCGAGGGGCACAGACCTGTGAATACAGCACTGATGTAGCCCCGCGGGTGCAGAGGGGGCACAGCTCCGCGGTTACAGGGGACCACTGCCCCGCGAGTACAGGGAGGACACAGCCCCGTCGGTGCAGAGGGGCACAAATCTCCGCGTACAGGAGGCGCGCAGACCAGGACGCATCTCACGTGGTTCCCTCCCCTGCCCCCAGCTGCTGGTGGAGGGCTCCACACTGGCCTTTTTCATCCTCACCGGCTACAAGTTCCAGCCCGCAGGGGACAACCCGTACCTGCAGCTGCCCCAGGACGATGAGGACGACGTGCAGATGGAGCAGATGTGAGTGCGGTTGGGGGGTGGGGGGCAGGCTGAAGAAGGGCTTGGGCCAAGGCAGCTGTCGGGGCGGGGTGAGGGTAGTTTCTGGGGTGGGGTAGGTAGATCACAGCATCTGTGCAAGCTGGGTGGGAGTGATGGGTACTAGCGCAGCGCAGGGGTGAGATGCGGAATGGGGTGAAGTCACTGCACCTCTGGAGGTTGGATAGGAGCCAGTGGGCGAGGTCAGTGTAGCTCTGAGGGTGGCGGGTGGGCACTTTTCTGGCATTTGAGTTGAGGTGGGTGGGCGTGGTCGGGTGTGGGTGCTGGGCAGGGTCTGAGCAGCTCTGGAAGGGGTGGAGTGGGGGCGAGGTCAGCGCACTCTGGCAGTCAGGTTAGGGGGTGGCTGTGGTCGGGTGTGGGTGCTGGGCAGGGTCTGCCAGCTCTTTTTTTTAATTTTTATTTATTTTATTATTGTGTGTGTGTGTGTGTACCGTCAAATTGGATCTGACAGGTACAGGAGGAGATTGTCCCTCCTTCTCCAGGAAAGCATCTGGTGGATTCGAACTGTGTACCTCTGGGTTTACAGTGTAGTTTCTTGCCACTAGGCCACCAGAGCTCCCTCAGCTCTTGGGAGGGGTGGAAGGTGGGCGAAATCACAGGCACTTCTAGATGGTGATGGGCCCGGTTGGTACCGCTCTAGGAGGGGTTGGAGATGCATGAGGTCAGTTCTGGCTGTCCAACCTAGCTAGAAGTGATGGACTGGACGAGGTTATTGCAGCTGGGGGAGGGGGTAGAGGTGGCCCAGCCCCTCCACCTCCTGGAACTGCCCCCTCGCGGTCTCTTCCCAGAATGACGGACTCTGGCTTCCGGGAAGGCCTGTCCAAAGTCAACAAAACCACCAGTGGCCGAGAGCTGTTGTGAGGAGCAGTGAGCAGAAGGCTTGGGTGCCCTCCTTCTCCCCCACATTCCCTCCTGTGGGTCCCAGCGTGGGGAGGAGGCGACCCCGTGCGCTCAGGGGCTCCTCACCGGCCTGTCCCAGAGCCCACTCAGAAGCAGACGGGAGCCCCTCCTTGCCCAGGACCCTTATCCGGGACCACACCCCCTCCAGCTGTACAATAATGACTTGTATGTTTTGGTACACACGTGTCTCGCTTTCTTGGGATGGAAACCTAAGCCACCAGCACTGAAGTCTTCATACTTTAGAAACCTGGGAAGGGGTCCTGGTGGCACGGTGCTGTGAGCATCAACCAGCGATTCAAACCCACTAGCGACTTCGGGGTTTGGATAAAGGAGTGGGGCATTCTGCTGTGTCCTTCAGGGACCCTTGTTCTGTACTCACCCCACAGCTGGGAGTTTGAGGGTTTATTGCCTCAGTGAGAGGGGGGCAGTTTCCCCAGCTTTGTCCATTCAGTAAATATTAACTGAGCACCTGGCGTGTGCTGGCCCTGTGCCCGCTGCTGGACTCGACTGTGACTGAAGAGCCTTCCAGCTCAAGCGCTTCACCATCCAAATGTGGGGACCAGAGAAGGATGTGTCCTCAGGGGGTTCCATCGCAGGCCCTGGCCCCTCGTGGGAGAGCCAGGAAAAAAAGCAAAGGCTGGAGGGGGAAATGGTGACTTCAAGCCCGTGGTTGGCTCAGACTTGAAAAGTAAAAGTAAAGTTGTTGTTGTTGTTATGTGCCCTTGAGTTGCTTGTGACTCTTAGCAACCCTATGTACAACAGCCCTAACTCTGTTCTATCCTGTGCCAATCTCACTGTCTCTGACGCTCCCATCCTGATTACCCCAGTCACCGAATCAGTCCACCTCATAGAGGGCCCTCCCCTCCTGCACTGTCCCTCCACCCTACCAAGCATGATGTCCTTCTCCAAGGACCGGTCCCTCCTTACAACATGCCCAAAGTATGTTAGACAGAGTCTCAGAGTCCTTTCCTCCAAGGAGCCGCCCGGTTTAACCCTTTTCGGGATGAATCTGTTTGTTTTCCTAGCAGTCCATGGTACCCTCCATACTCTTCTCCAGCACCACAGCTCAAAGGCATCAATTCTCCTTCTACACTGCATGGTTCAAAATTGGGAAGGATGTAGGCCAGGGATTGTCCTGTCTCCATACCTTTTCAACCTGTATGCAGAACAGATTATCCAGGAGGCTGGGCTCTATGAGGAGGAATGTGGGGTCAAGATTGGAGGAAGATCTATCAACAATCTGCGTTATGCAGATGACACAACCCTGCTTGCTGAAACTGAGGAAGACCTGAAGCACTAGCTGTAGAGGGTCAAGGACTGCAGCCTCCAATATGGATTGAGCCTCAATGTCAAGAAGACAAAGATTCTCACCACTGGACCAATTGGTAGCATCAGGATGGATGGTGAACAAATTGAGATTGTTCACAGCTTTAGTTTGCTTCGCTCCATAGTCAACATTCTCGGCACCAGCAGCCAGGAAATTAAAAGACATATTGCCATGGGAAAGTCTGCTGTTAGAGACCTCTCCAAAGTACTGAAGAGCAATGGTGTCTCTCTGGAGACTAAGGTGCATCTGATACAGGTCATGGTCTTTGCTATATAAAAGTAAAGAGTTTTTTAAAAAAAGAACTCCAAAACAATGTGGAGCCGACTCCAGCCATGTGGGCGGGCCTTGTGTGTGTAGACTAGAGCTGTGCTCCACGGGGCGGCCAGCAGCTGATAATTTGCAGAAGTGGATTGCCAGGCCTTTCTTCCTAGGTACTGTCACTGGATCTGGACCCACCTTTTGGACCGTACCCAAACACCACACCGTTTACGCCACCCAGGGACTCCAGAAACAATAGCAGTAGCCCTGGTGGTACAACTGTTAAACACGCAGCCACTAACTGAAAGGTGGGTGATTTGAAGCCATCCTGACCTGACTCCAAGGGAGAAAGACCTCCTGACCTGCTCCCAGAAGGGTTACAGCCTGGAAAAGCCTGGTCGACTCTGTCACCTGGGGTCACCCAGCACTATACCTAAGGGCACTCTGAGCTTTATCTCAAGGCCTGGGAAGCACAGAGAGCCCAGGTGACCTGCCCAGCAACACACAGCTCTCAGCTTATTGGGACACAGTCTCGTGCTGGAGTGGCCCTTAACTGCGGTGCCTGGAGCCTCTGTGTGTGGCCTGTCTCCCCGAGGCCGGACCTCAGCCTGTCTTCTGTTTGCTGTGGTGCCGGGGAGCAAGGAGTCAGAACCAGCTCACAGATGACCCTCCCCAAGGTTTTCAGAGACAGTAAATTTCATGGGTGGAGGCTGTCCATCCTCTCCCAGAGCAGTTGGGGGGGGTCACGCCACACTCCTCTGGGTCGGCAGCACCACCCCATACCAGTAAGTCAGCACGTGTTTGCTGTGTGGTGCTAGGTACGTGGGTGAACCTCTCTGTTCTGTCCCAGGTAGATGGAGCCTCGGGGTTGCGGCGTTTTACTGTTAGGTCCATCGAGTGTGCTTCCACTCACAGCACATGTTAACACGGCCCAGTCCTCTACTGACCTCGATCTCTGCTGTGCTTACACCCCCTTGATGCAGTCACTGTCTGCCTATCTCAGCGAGGGTCCTCTTTGCCGATCCTCCGCGGTCCCAAGTATAGTGTCTTCATCCAGGGACTGGCCCCTCCTGAAGAGTTTGTGTGAGCTGATGGACGATGTCCATAACACACACAGACACACACACCCGGTGCATGATGCACTTTGTCCAAGATGCCTTGTGTCTGTTGGCGAGGCCCAGGCTAGTCCTCGCTCTCCCACACCACGAGTCAAAGGCATCGGCTCTTTGGGCTTCCTTACTCATTGTCCAGCTTTCATATGTGTATAGAGCCAATGAGAAGACCCTAGTTTGGACCAGGCATATCTTCCTCTTTGAAACCCGTCCTTCCTTGCTCTTAAACGGCTTTAAAAGCTCATTGTCAGTATGTCAGTGCAACAGGGGCTTTTGATTTCTTCACTGACGCTTTTACGGGTGTGGATTGTGGAGCCAAGTGAAATAAAGTCCTGGCAACCCCAGTCCTTTCTCCATCTGTCACAGGTGCCACTTTGTTCGGCCCAGTGCCCAGAAGCACAGCCTCGGCTCTCGGGGACCTGCTCTGAGCCTTAAGGGGTGACCACTGATTAGACACGTGCACATAAGCATGTGGGAAGACCCTAAGATCCCTCCACCCTCCATCTTCCACCTGCAGCTCCTAGAACCCCTTCGGAGGAGGAACCCTCTGTCCCCAGAGCCCCTAAGGCCCTGCCTGGAAGAGGCCCTGGGCATGGACAAGTTGGGGGCCAGCCTCGGGTGAGACTTGCTGCGGGCAGAAGGGAGCGTGGCAGGAGTCCAGGGGAATAAATAACCCAGCCAGACGCAGACGGAAGTGAGGCCCCACGGAAGCTGGGTGACACGGTGGGGGTGCCTGGAACAGCCTGGTGCATGTGAGTCCCGCCGCAGGGCTGGCCAGGGACAGTGGGGGCCAAGCTCAGCCAGCAGAACCTGAAGACACGGGACGCTTGAGGGAGCCATGGGTGAGTTTAGAGGAGAAATGGGCCTGTCCCGTGCAGGCTGATGTTTCACTCCCTGTGTGAGTCTGCAGGAGTCCCTGGTGGTGCAAGTGGTTAGTTTGGCTGCAAACCAAAAGGCTAGGGTTCAAGTCCACACAGTGGTGTCTAATAAGAAAGGCCTGGCAATTTATTACCAATTCCCCACCTAAAACAACCACCCCAGCTAGTGGAGGTTCTAAGAAGCACATTTCTGCTGTATCACACATGAGCCACCCGGGGTTAGCATGGGCCTGTTGGCCGCTGGTAGCAGGTATCAGTATCAGGAGGCTGCCGTAACAGAGAAACATGCTTAAAACAACAGTGAGGTGCCGTCTCACGGTACTGGGGCCTGGAGTCGCAGTTCTGGGTGCTGGCTGGGCCAGGCTCTCTCTGGCTGAAGTTTGTAGGGGAGGGTCCTTCCTCATCTGCTGGATTCTGGTGGTGACCACCTCCCTCCAGTCTCCACCTCTGTTGTCACATAGCCCCCTCCCTTCTGTATGGACCTCTAGGCCTCTCCTCTGTTCATCAGACAACCACTCAGAGAGGAGCCCTGGTGGTGCAGTCTATATCTATCAAATCCACCAGTTGAGAAAAAAAGGAGGGCGGTCTCCTTCTGTGAAGATTTTATTGTTTTTATTGTTGTTAGGTGCTGTTCCATCAACTACAACGCACAGCGGCCCTCAGAATAACAGACTGAAATCCTGGTCTGTCCTGCGCTGTCCCCTCTGCTCAGGCCCACTGCAGCAGACACTGTATCAATCCATTTGGTCGAAAGGCTTCCTCTCTTTCAATGACCCCTCAACTTTTCCAAATATTATGTCCTTTCTCAAAGACTGCCACCTCCTAACCACGTGCCCAAAGTGTGTGACACCAGCTTTCCCCTCTTGGCCGCACCTCGGTGGCACTCCCGCCAAGACGGTGGGTTTGTGCTTTCAGCAACAGAAACCTGATGGTGCGTCACTGAGTGAGAGTGGCCTCAGTGACAGGGCCTTGGGTGTTTGGGTTTTAGGGTTTTGGTGGGTCTTTCTCTCTCTCTCTCTCTTCCTCCTTCCTTCCTTTTTATCTTCCTTCCTTTTTCTCCTTCCTTCCTTCCCTCCCTCCCTCCCTTCTTCTTCCTCCTTCTTCTTTCTCTCTTTCTCCTTTCTTTCCCTCTCTCTCTCTCTCTCTCTTTTTTTTTTCTTCCTCAGAATAGAATAGAACCTACTCTACTCCATAAGGAGTCATGGTGGCATAGCAGTTAATTACTTGGCTGCTGACCAGAAGGTCACCAGTTCAAGCCCACTGGCCATTATGCAGGAGAAAGTGAAGTCGTCTGCTTCCTATAAGATGCGCAACCTGGAAGCCCCATGGAATAGCTCAGCTTCGTCCTGTAGGGCTGTCAGGAGTCAGAATCAACCCAACAGCATT